AAGACTGGTTGGGTCTGTCTCCTTCTCTGGTGTTCTCTCTGTTATCTTTGCCTGTAATTTTGCCTTTTCATGGTGATAGAGATAGTTTGCAGAGCTGGCACGAGTGACGGCTGGAAGAACCTCCCTTCTTGTTGGTTTGTGGCCTTCCTCTCCTGGGAGAACAGCAACCTCTAGTGGCTTGTGCTGGGCACCTGCGCTCAGAAAGGGCTTCTAATTCTTGCCTGGCTGCTATGGAGTTAATCTCTGCTGTTGCTGTGGGCATGACCTGCCTCGGGCTGCTACTGCGATATGGTGGAGCCGCATTGGAGAGGGAATGGCTGGGAGGCTATTTATCTCTGTGAGGGGCCTCCATGCTCCCTGCTGCCCAGGGGTTAGAGTGCCCAGAGTTCCCCAGATTCCCTGCTGCTGGACTAAGTGTCCCAGGATGCTTCCGTCCGGCTGTGGGGTCCCTGTCCTTTTAAGACTTCCAAGCACTCGCTTTTCTTTGTCCCGGGTGCGCCATCTGCAGGGACCCGCTCACAGGTCTTACTGTCCTGTTTCCCTAGTATCCAGGACCCCACGCATGCACTGTGTCTGCACTCTGGTGCACATGACTAGGGCTGGCTATTTAGCAGTCCTGGGCTCCCTCTCCTTCCCCGCTCTGACTCCTCTCCTCCCACCCAGAGCTGAGGTGTGGGGCACTCGGGTCCCACTGGTCCATGGCTTGTATCTTACCTCCTTCGCAAGGCGCTGGATTCTCGCAGGTGTGGATGTGGTCTGGCTGTTGTCCTGTGTCTTCTGGTCTCTCTTTTAGGAAGAGTTTTCTTTGTTGTATTTTCAAAAATATATGTGGTTTTGGGAGGAGATTTCCACTGCTCTACTCACGCTGCCATCTTGGCTCCGCCCCAGCTTATACATTCTTTAAAAGCCTGGAGCAAGGCTATATAATCCTATGTCCCACCTGTGATGCCTACAGTGATCCATTTGAAGTTGGGGCTCGGTAAATCTCTTTTCAACAATAATCATACTGCCATACACAAGGCAACTTCTTCAACTAGTATTTTTATTCATAAAAGTAACAGCAAGGCCCTCAAGAGCCTCTGGAAGTAGACACAGACTAAGTGCATGTTCCAGATCTGTTTAAAAGGAAAAGTCAAGACTAAAGAGGTAAGAAACATTCCCAAAGTTATAGAAATAGCTAAACAACAAAACCAATAATGTAGCCACTCTACAAAAAAGTGTTTAGCAACTAAACACCATTCCTTCTGAAAACATTATCCTTACCCTCAACTCATTTCTGCACTAAAGGAGGGTGTGACTAATCAGCGCTAAATGAAAGCGCTATACTTTCAACAACGCAAAATGTCTGCTAATGCACAAGTCATTCCACATGATTCTGGAACCAATATTTGCTACCTCACCAATGTGCAGCACAATTTACATATTCCTGAATGAAGATACTCTAACAGCACTACAACAGCTTTGGAGAAAGCTTGCCTGGGACAGAATGTGGCACAGCAAATGATCCACCCTCATGAAATCAAGAGATTGATGATGTACCATGTTTTTGAAGAGTGGTACAGAATGCTAAATGGATCACACCACACATACCTCGGCAGCAAGGATCACAGTCAGAGGTATTACTCACAAATAAACAAAACATGCTCCAGAGCAAAGAACACATGTAGCAATGACAGACTTCTTCAGCCAAAAGAAACAACTGAAGCTGAAAATGTTCTCGATATAAAATATCTGACTGTGCACTCCTACCAGTTGAAAAAAAGTACGAATAATAAATAGACACATATTAATATATGAATATATTATGTGCATTATGAACACAAAACATAAATTTTTTAAAGATAAAGACAGATACAGGTCTTCCAAAATAGTCTTCCACATCAGATGGACTATCAGGCACATCCCTTAGGATTCACAACCCCGCTTTGGAGTCAGCACTTTAAAATACTTACAGAAGTTCAAAGCCAAAGGTTATTACTTTAATTATTTGGAAAACTCCTGAGTTACTTTCTCCCCTTTGCTAAAGCAGATGTGCCCTTGATATTCAAAACAATTCCATTAAGATTCTAACAGTTAAAAGTCAGAGAATGGAAAAATGCATTAAAAAATCTTGGAAGCTTTAGACTGGATGGTGACAAGAAGCTATGAAGTGTAAATGACACAGAAGCAGAATTGATTTTGTTTTTGATCTAAACTGTGTCCTCTATAATTGCTATGATTTGCAGGCTCAGTGCTTTAATCCACATGCTATTTCCAGCCATGGGAAGAAACTGGGTAGTCATTTAAAAAACTGTCACATAAATAGCCACTCATCAGCTCACCTGGGGAGTGTAATGTTGGACAAGTACTAAAGAATGCCAATTTTATTTGTTTTACTACTTGTAAACTCCCTGAGGAAAAGATGTGAGTTGGTAAATTTTCTGAACATTCAACCCTTAATTATCCATACAAACAGATCAGAGAAGTCAAAATGACAAGTCAAGAACAACTTTTATGATCAGCTTTGTAATGAATTCAGATACCACCAAGAATCTTCTTTCCTAAAATTACATAGAGACCAACAGCCCAAAAAATGGTACATCAAAGAGGTCAAATACATGCATCCTGGAGTCAAGGGACCAAGGTCTCAGTACTTGCTTGGAAACTCACTAGTTGTGTAACTTCAAGCAAGTTATACAATCTCTATAATTTTCCAGATCCTCATCTGTAAAATGAGAAAGCTAATACTAACTACCTTATGGGTTTCTGGACAAGATTAAACAATATAAGGCATGTGAAGTACTCAGCACAGCATTTGGTAAATATTTAATAACTGTGTGCTTTAGTATTGTTAGAGCGTGAAGACTGGACCGAAATCAGCAGGGAGGAGGGAAAACGGGGGGACATAATCATGGTCAAGTCTATTGCCAAGTGATGTAAAAGTCATTTTAAGGCCAACTACTGTTCCTCTAAAGTATCAGGAGCATACATGTTCCCTAATTGCTTTTTTGAAAAAGCATGCCTTTTAACCAGGTACCTATTCTTGGAAAGTGAGAAGAGAAAACTGTTTGTCTTCCTACCTGAAAGGTTTTCCTCCTTATGTTTCTGGAAACCTAGTTACCTATCACAGAGGTGGGAAATCCTGGTTCAGTGTGACAGAGGCCCTTAGGACTACCTAGAACTGCAGAGAAGGTGGGATTCATACATTACCTGTGCCCAGTGGTTTTTAAATACAATCATGCATGTTTCTGGGTCAACTCCCTGCAGGCTCACAGCCTGCTGGAGTTTGCCTTCTGTCGCAACCGATGACATCATAAACCTTCATAAATCAAGCTTCTAAGTCATATTTAGTTTTCACGAAAATCTGGTAAACAGTCACTAACTTTCAAGTGTCACATTAGAAATGTAACTTCTTCACATTTCATTGTCATCTTCCCGAACCTGTAATGACAATAACAAAAAATGCATCTCATTATGTTCATATATTAAACAGGATACTCTTAAACTTAAAACAGGTTGGATTTCCTAAATCCAACACAGAACCAAGTATCTACAAAATAGACATTTCTACTCAATCTAAATGTTTCTCTATTTTCTCTCCCCTTGCTACTAAAAATATAAAATAATGATGCCCCCAAAGCCACATGCATAAATTAAATAACTATTGGGTTTATTCTCTCCACTACCACCAACCACAACCCCTAAATAATTCTGACTTGTTCAAATCTAGTTTCCATAATTAAGTAGGAAACAATAATGCCATGTCTACAGAAACAGGAAAGCAATTAATTAATAGTGACAGAAATAAATGGGTCCATGCAACATGGGGTAGTTATAAAACAGAACCCAGACTCCTGGGTCCAGTACCATTGAATTTTTCTTTAATCAATGACTTTCATAATAGAGTTGAAAGCCATTCTGCAGCTACAAACTAAGTTAAGGTTTCTAGGTTTTTTGAAAAACAGTGGAATTCCAAATAACCTTGACAAATCAGAGACAGAAATGATCCATTAAAAATAGGATAGTGCTTATTAGGTGTGAACACAAGGTAGCACACTCACAAATGAAGAATGAATTATGTGGATAAAATACGAAGAAAGTCTGAGCACAACAGAGCTGGTAGGGAGAAAACTGCTGTTAAGGTCATGGGGTGTACAGTGAGTGTGATCCAGCTATCCGGGGCTAACTCCCTGACAAAAAGGAATAAGATAGTGGTACAATCCCACCCGTTTGTGATCCATAAAAGGACTGGGTACAGTTCAAAATATTTTTTTTTAATGTACAGATTGGAAAGACTTCAGAGAAAAGTAATTACAGTATAATTAATCAGAGCACTAGAAAACAAAACCATGATAAAATTTTCAGACTGGTAGTGCCAAAAGAAAAAAAAACATGGCTACTTTCAACTGAGGACTATGAAGTCTATTACAAGGAGAATACTACTCAACTCTTCCTCCTGCAAACAGTAAAATGTGAGAAAGGGGTTTAAGGTGATGCTTCGGGTTAGACTTATGGGTCAAGTCCTGTGGGGAATGAAATTAAACACTGGACAATAGTTTAGAAATATTCAAAACAAGTGCTTCTGCTGGGGTGTGAGAAGCGAACCATTCAATACTAAAGAATCTTTAAAAGAACCTGTTAGGACATAGGAACACAAAACTTGCAAGAATGATTCTAAGGAAAGAAACTGTTTTTAAGGAGAATGGAAGAGGATTCAAGTACTAGAGAGAAGAAGGCCTGTTAGAAGGCAGACTGCACAAATTACACACCTGAGGGAAAACAGCTTGTGTGTCTCTTCTATGACATTATTTAATAAGACTATATTTTATTATTTAAATGTGTAATTCCTAGTAATATACAACAGAACATACTAATAATAGAACATAATATCCCTAATATTACAAATACGTTGTTTTTAATTAGACATTGTCCACTGCCAACCATGGCCCTTTGATACACGTATTATTGGGCCCATCTGGGGTTTTAACAATCAGGAGTGGCCACCCCACCATGCAGGGTGCACGTTCCCAGTCACCCCAATCCCCACCACTCCCTATAAGCCTACTGCTGGCCTCTTCACCTCATTTTGGTCACCCGATTAGCCCGTATAGATAACATTTCAGTGTGCAGCCCTGTTTTAAGTGATAGAGACAAAACAAGCCCTGACTCAACCTCCTTGTGGTCTTACACATAATATTTCTGTCATAATGTCAAGGTATTTCATTCAGATGATGTAATGATAATAAGTGAGAAAAATCAGTGTTTTGGTTTATCCCAGAGGTTGAAAAAGTAGAAGACTCCTTGAGATTCCTTCCAGCTTTAGGATTCTCAGATTCTTCTTCAAAGGGATGAGAGGAAGCTACATCGTGCCAACTGCCTCTAAATCAAAGTAAGATCCTGGAAGTTAGTTCTCAAAGGGACTTTACATGCAATCTTTTCAAACAGTGAGACTGCATTACAGACAGGATAAATATCTTAGCTAAGGTTATAAACTTACAAGCTAGCTTTGATGGAAATAGAATGATTCCCAGTCTAGTGTTCTTTCTAGAAAACTATACTCTCCCTTCTCCTGGCTATAATCCTGGTGCTACTCCCTTGGAATCTGTACCCTCTCTGAAAAAAGTGCACCTTAACTTGGTTGATACTTACCCACCCATACTTTGGAGGCAGATGCCTTAAGAATCTAAATGTGTCATAAAGACAGAAATTACAAGATTGAGAAAATTTGGAAAAAGAAGGAATGCCAGGGAAGTTGAGCAAGCCACGTTTGAGATGGGAAAAACTATGCCAGAGGATTCTATAAGTGAAAAGACTTCCTAACACACCCAGAGACCAAAAAACCAGATATCCCCACTCCCATCTCTCTCTCTCTAATTCCCATGTTAGAGTATTAAAGCACAGCCATGTCCCTAGAGCAATATAAAACTGAAAGAGATGGTTCCATATTTATGAGACATGTATAAGGACGATTTTCCTTGAACACCAAGGTTTTCAAAGTATTTCTTCATTTGCCTATAATCATTTTTTACTTTTTTCCTCTTTTGCATTTTTCTATTCCAAGCTTTTTAGTTGACTCTCAGGTCACAGCTGAAAGTCCCAAGTGAAGAATGCAGAAGGACAAAGCATTAAGCTGTGTGTAGGTAAAAGAGGCTAGCCACTAGAATGTATGCTCGCAACATGCATATGGCATTATTGGACATTCCTCTTTCTTGCCCTCTGTCTTTTCAGCCTACGGTATCTGAAACTGGGAATATTTAGAGTAAAGCCTACCACTCTTGGCACAAATTCAGACTGTTCTTCCCATAAATACACACATGCAGATCAACTACAATTTCACGCCTAAGGGAGAGCTCTGTGAACCATTCAGACCCTAATGAGTGATTTTTTTTCTTTCTTCAAACAAACCATCAACACCATAAAATACCCAAAGGACTCTTTTTCCAGCAGTGGTTGCATACGGTTTTGTGATGTGGCTGTTGAGTTTTTTGGAATGGCTGGGTTTCGGGAACTGTGGGGGGACAAGTCATCAAAATACATGTATAAAAGCCTGATAAATCGACACAGATTCTGTACTGTGAAGACGGACCTGACTATATTATTTCCAAAGACATTACTCAGTAGTCACATTTACATATCTCATTAATATTATATATAAAAATATTTTCCATCAATAAGGAAAGAAAATTTCTATTAAATTATTGTTGGAGAACTGTGTGTATTTTTTTGAAAGTATATTTTTTATTTGACCAGGAAAAAAAAACACAAGCATATGCTTCCATTTCACAGAATTACAAAATACACAAAAGCTTATATTCTAGTCATCTGGGTCACACTTCTTTCCAGTGTAAAAATTCCTTCAACCTCATTCCCAGGTAGACAGGTATCTAATCTCAGACTCCTTTATAAATGACAATACTTAGGAGAGCTATAATGTGTCAAAATCACATTTTTTCCTGAACCACCAATGGCTGTATTTTAATACATCCCTCTTTCACTATCAGACTGAACTTACGATGTAAACGTTTTTGCATTTAATTATATGTTATCTCATACCATCCTTCAATTCTTTTATCTATTTAAATATAATATCCAGTAATAACAGATTATAAATAATTCCTTAAGGGAAAGAAATGGATGGCTACCTTAAGAGGAGACAGAATCAAGGCAACATTTTTATTAAGGAAAAAGTGATCAGATTTGTAGGCCTAATGGAAAGGAACCAATGAACATGAAGAATCTGAAGATACCAAAAAAAAAAAAAAAAAACACTTTTTGTTTGATGGAGCAAGAGGAGCAGAGAAAGATGAGACCCAGGCAGGACCGCAGGCAGGAGAGGTCTGAGATAAAAGAGAAGCACAGCTGAGTCTTTTCATAGCAAGTTTTCAAACCAGAAGTAGTGTCTTGAACTTGATTAAAGACACGGAGGGCTCCCTTCCCATCTTTCTTTCTTCCCTCCTGGTACTTCTCTGGTTGGTTTGTGATGACAGTTAGAGTTAAAGTGGGGAACAAAGGCTAAGGGCTAAGAGTGTTTAGCTTAGTTCTCCAAGCGTGGAAATCAGAAAACTCAGTCCCCACTTGGGGACTTGAGCTTTGAACTGGGAGACAGGGCCCTAGGACTCTAGTTTCAGCTCCGAACAGCTCTGACATCTTGAGTAAAAAATGGGGTTCTTGGTTTGGAGTCTCACTTAGGTGAGTAGTTAGGACTAAATGATTATCCCCTAGGTCTCTCCCAACTCAGTTATGATTTTATGTAATTTATTGTAGCTGTTACACCACCTGGGGAGGGGTAATCAGATAATCCTTAAAGGGTGATGGCTATTGTGCAATTCTATGGGATTCTTACCTGTATTGTTTTTACAATTAAAGCACATTTCTATCTGCACTGTTTTTATAATTAAAACATATTTCACTTACAGAACCCCAAGCACAGGAATCAACCATCTCAAATATAATTTGTGGTTGGGTTTTTTTTTTCCAGAGCAACTGCCAGTAAAAAACTCATTGTTTTATAATGCACTTTGGAATGGCCTAAATTGACTGCTACTAAATACATAAAAAGTCTATTACTGTAAAGGTGCTTATTATATAAAATTCCATCTAAGGGTGAAGACTCTTCAAATATTGGGAATACCTGAAGAAAGAGGAAACTTGTGCCCTCAATTATAACTAACAGCAATGGGGAGAATTCATTTTGGGTCAAACTACCTCAGACATCCTCTACTTGGAGCCTGATAAAATCCTGTTAAACCTAAGTCCTCTCTGTGCTCTAATCCTCTGGCCCAGTTTCCTTTTCTCCTGCTGAGCTATCACATAGTAATGACAGGCTGTGAAAAGCAAAGCAAGCACCTAATGACCCCCGGCCCTCCCAGAATCTGTCCTATGCCCTCCTCATCCTGCCATCGTTTGACTGGCTCATTCATTGTTCACTGTCCATCACTTCA